ACTGTTGTGTGCAAAAGCAGATTTTTGTAAGATATATTACAAGTTTTGTATTTTCTACAAATATTACTTTTTACAATATTCGGTGAAAATAAATTTTGGAGCCGCGTCCGATGGCGGCCTGATGCTCTGATATCAGCAGAGATTCAAGCTATTCTAGTCGCTTCAATTATCTGCAATAAATTTCCTGCATTGCATGGTATAATCGCACCTTGTGCATACGCAACGTCCAATATCAATAAAAGATAATACAGATTATGAAAAGGGAGAGCGTTGATTGTTTTATACAGCCATCGATCCCGTTACTCGCCAATTTAATTATTTAATATCGTGCATCGCTTATCGTTCATGTTCAGGTCTGCGGTCCGATTCGAGTTGATGCATCATCGCTCATCGAAAATCGGGCAAGATCAAGTGCAGACGGAATATTCAGATATAATCGAGAAACGAGTCGCGCTTCGTCGCGGAGGAGACGCGACGGTGAGTGAGTAGCGGTTTGTAGCGCCGAATGTAGGACAATAGCCTGCAGAACGTTACGTCCTCGAGATTCCCCATTGATCCGTCAAGTTCAATGGAACTCGCGGGGTTAATGCGCGCGCGCGCGCGAGACGAAAATCTCGAGTTCACGGGATTCTTCAGCGAGGCCAAGTGCTCGCGCATTGTTGACACAAGTGTAGAGGCCGTGTGTGCCCCGGCTCCTGTTTATCATATGCGGATGTGAAATCGAGGCAAGGAAGACATTTATATTCATGACAACAAACAACATACGGGAGGGCGGCACTCGTTTCCCGCCATCGGCGATATTTACCGCCGGCAAATATGACAGAAATCTTTCATTGAATTCGTCGCTTCGCTCGCGCGCCGCGCGCGTCACTCTCGTTCTTCCACTTTCATCCCTATCGTCGTTTCCCTGCCGCGCCGTCGCGTCACTTTCCCCTCGCGCTCTTATTTTCATCTAACGCCGCGCGACAATCTCTCCTCCTCGTCGTCATCGTCGTCGTCGTCGGTGCCCATATCTACGGGGATAAAAGAATCCCCCGCGACACGGGAGACCCTCATGTGCGACCGCGAGGGAGAAAGGCGCTTTGAGCGGCGCACGGCGATGAATCGCGCCGACGACGAAAATTCGTCCGCGCGGATCGCAAAGGGAAAATTGCGGCAGCCGCTCCGGAGCGCGCTTGAAATACTTTGGCGCAACGACGCGCGCGTGCTCCATGCAATTAGATCGAACAATTAGTCGGACGTGTGTAGCGGGACGCTCGCGTCGCGCGCGCTGGAGAATTCCGCTCGGAAACAGGAGAGGAGCTCTCCCCGCTCGCGGCCGCTCTCGTTTTCACGTCGCGTCGTTTCGCACGTCGGATCTGCATAAAAAGGACGGAAATATCATGGACGATCGACGACAAATGTAACAAGACGCGACGCTGTAAATTGATATACCTATTTCGATTTGTACAGCACTAAATTATTCGCGCGCGCGCGTACCGACCAGCGGATTGGAAAGAATCAATAAACGTGATGAAAATGTTCCGTTTCGATTCAATTCCCGTTATCTCGATATCGGTCCGCGCTTTTCATCCGCGATGGCTTCGCCAGAGATAAAAATTTTGCAACTTTGAAGCTCTCGCGCACGCCAGACGGTCGCGCGCCTACTTTCGTTACGGCGAGTACATGTATGTGTATATTATATATAATTTTTTCCCAACTTCCACATCACATCCGTGTCCATCGTCCAGATACTAGAAACAGGATATCCCGTTCGCGCTCGTCGACATCGAGACGAGGCCGTCCCGTCGCTCTCAACGATAGCGCGTGCAATATGCGCGAAAAAAAGCGTCGCCGACGAGTCACGGAGCAGATCCGCGGCACGTAGAGTCTCGATTATCGTTCGGCGTTCATCATGAACTCCGGCTCATTCCTAGTGGGACCGCCATGTTCGCGAGCGCGGCGTTTCTCTCCATCCACGCGCTCGCGCGATGATAAAACGCCGACGCGCGCCGCTTACGAATCGTTCGGTAAGCGCGCTAAAAATTACACTCGCGCTCCCCCCCCCCTCTCTCTCTCTCTCTCATAACTTACGGCAGATTTATACCGCTCGCCCCGGCCGGGATGTGCACCAACGCATACATACATACACACACACACACGTGCGCGCGACATATATCGGCCCGGCCGCCACCGAATACAATTGGCATATACATTAATACAGGTGCATTAACAGAGGCTGCGATTAATTACCCGCCTGCGACGTGCCGCTACGCGGTGCAAAGTATCCCCCGCGCGCTAATAAATTGAGTTTGTGCGACAACGCCGGGAGGATGGGAGAGTCGGTAGGATGCAGGAGGAGGAGGAGGAGGAGGAGGAGAAGGACGCGCAATTAAATAGCGGGTGCGAAATAGCGGGGTCGCCCATGTTACTTCGCCAGGCGCGTCGCGCCGCGCATCGCACGCTCGCGCGATTCTTTTGAAGCGCGCGTACGCGACATTTTTTTCTCACGTCGCCCGGCGTCGCGACGCCGTGCGATAATACGGCGCGGTGAAGCCCGTGGTCGTGTCTCGCTGGGTCCGACTGAAATCGCTCGCTAAGCGTATCGCGGCTGTGAGTAATCGCGATGCGTGAGAACGTGTGGATTTTTCCAGGCGATCCGGCGACGCCGACGCGCGGAATCCGCGCGCGAGTAAAGTCGCTCCGACGATTACATCCCGTTCAAAGTAATCCCGAGGCTGAGCTGCGACTCTCTTGGAAGTGTGTTTGTGTGAGAGAAAATTGATCTCTTTATCGAGTAGAGCAAAAAGGAACGTGAATTCAGGACAAGCGGAATTATCTAAATTTTAGAGGATTTTATTCTTGGCGTATATGGCCTGAAGAGGATTCCTCTAAGATTAAGAGGAAAATATTAGAAAACAGGAAAATATTATAAACACATTATTCTTAAAGTTGGAAGGATTATATATTGTATGTATAACGCAAATCTTATTGATTTTAATACAAATTTCCTCTTATACACGGATTATTTAATCTTTTTCTTAAGAGGATTATTATTTATTCTTACTGTGCTTTATTCTTACTGGTTATACTGAAATGGATTGAATACTGAATATTGGAAATAGTTAATTTGAAAAAATTATTATAATGCATATAGCGAAAAGTAATATATATATATATATATATATACACACAGATGTACTTCCGGATTCAGTTCTACAATAAGTAGACACGAATGAAATACGATTGTCACAACAAATAAATTTTCAATCAGTTCTCAATCAGAGGAAATCCTTCTGAAATAAGAGGAAAACAGTTGGAATAATATCTAATAAATTTCAGATGAATGGTTCACTTTAATCGCTTTATCGAAAGAGGAATCCTCTTTCCGTAACAGGCTTCCCTTAGAATATGGGAGACTATGGGAAAAATTATTTTACAAATAGAATACTTTCTTTCTGGGTGAGTTACTCGAGATTAGCGCAGTTAATTAGCTCAATTTTTACATTCCCCAGCCCCTAATTCCCGGCCGTGGCCTTTCGACGAAAGGATAATGTTAATATTGATTCGGGAGCCCCCTCCAAAGGGACGGAGCAGGTTAGGGTCCTTTGAGCAAGAATACTCGCGAAATAATGACGAGTTAGTAGCGCCTCCGGCCGACGCAGCCTCGCATCAGCTCGTCGGCCGAAAAACACATCGGGTTGAGGTCTGCCTGACTAACGGAAGCGATCGCGGGCGTGCGGCCCGCGATCATCAGGCGTCAATAATTCGCGCAGCGAATGTGAATGGAGTAGCCCAGAGAGCTCGCTGTAATTAATTCCGCGATATAACCGGCGGCTGCGGCGGCGGCGGCGGCGGCGCGCGCGTTTTCGTTGCCGACACACTCAAGGATTGTTATCTACAGCGGAACGGCGCTCCTCCGCCGCGGGCCACCGTATACACCATTCATACTTGAGCAGGGCATTATGTGAGCCGCTTATTTCGAATGCGGTGTAAGTCCAGCTCTGAAACATTTAGGCGTTTCAATAAGGGCTTCAAGCCGCCGACGCGCAGGGGATAAATCCTCGTGGCCGCAGCCGCGAGGATTGAGCCGCTGCCGCTTGTTTCGAAAATCACTTTAAATTCCGCAGTCTCGTCGCCGGCCTAGACTTAATTGGCCTAATTGATAATACGGCATCGGCTACGTATACACAGCGGTCGGCTGTACAATAGCGAATCGGAATCTCCGTATTCGGCACCATCGCCCGCGGCCAGTTTAATTATCATGAATACACAGCTAATAAGCATGTCCGTCGACTGTTATTTATCCTGAAATTATTACCGTTTCGCGGGAACGTTAATTACACGTGGCGCACGAGTCACTAATACGAATTCCGCCGCATTCGCGTCCGCGCGGCCAAAGGCGCGAGATATCGCGACATCCAAGATGCCGGATCCCGGCGCGGATCGCGAAGGGCGACGGTGATAATCGCGGAATCGCGGTAAAACTTTTAAACAGAGAATTTCGGGCTGTTTAAGTTAAGCATTCTCGGCGCGCGGCGGTGTAGTTATGCACGCTCATTATGCATGATTCCGCGATTACGAGGGATGGCCGGGCGCGAGCGGAAAAGGGAAAGTTTGCGGGATTTAGTGCATTAGCGCCCCCCCCCCTCGGCCGCGCGGCGCGACGGGGCGGGAGGGCGAGCGCCCTGACGGATAAGGGCGAACGGAGCACTTGGTAGCGCTGTTACTTTTAATTAAAGCAGCCAGCTCCGCTCTATTTCGGGGCGTTTAGCGGAGCGGAGCGCGGCGACTTAGCAGCAATTTTTACTCATTAAGGTGCCCCGGAAGGATCCCCGGGGTGATGTAGCATGAAAAGATGAAAATCCCTCTCGGGGGCGGCCAGACGTGGCCAGACGCACCGGGGGTGAGACGAGAGGGACGCGCAGTTGGCCCCGTTAGACGGAGCCATCGGGAATCGCTCTTCGCCCCGACACGATAATAAGAAAGATTAGAAACAGATCCGCCGAGTAGACACTCACCTTTCGGCTGTTCCCGTCCTTGGGGTTCAGGTCCGAGGCCACCGTCCCGAAAATGGTTGGCTGAAACGGAAATGGTAGAACTCGTTGATGATTTTATTCTCGTGTCGTCGGTGGCTGCTTGAGACTTGTCTCACACGCGGGGTGCTCAGATCACTTTTTTATTGCCAGCTCGCGGCTGGCAAGCCGAAATATTCGGATCCATTCGGATATCTCAATTCGGACCTGAGTGCCTCATTTGAGACAAGTTTCAAGTGACGGATATTAATATACACTACTAAAAATTATGGTTTCAAAAAATTTGCGCTGAAAATTGCTCAACTTTGAACAAGGATTACTCGGTGACAAATGGTTGTAAGACGATGGTTTTTTTTGTTCAAATTAAAGGTTGAAGTCTCAAGATGCTTTCGGTTGATTTTAGATCCAATTCATTCCTACAGCGTGCGATCTCATAATTCGACGGCATGTTTTTGATTTAAAAATTTGCAACAAATTTTGACAAAATGCACAGGCTTGGGTAATTTTTTTTTGCGAGATTTTCATTCGCGGGCAATGAAAGTTTGATTTTTCCCCTTTCATTAAAAAAGAAATTCAAGTCTCTGCGATTTTTTGTCGCGATTTTACAGCATTTTAAAGAAACCCGTACATTTTCCTTATTGAAGGTAGGATTTGTAGGAAATCACTACCAACTTTGGCATTACCTAATGGGGTACCGAATTTTTGCATTAAGTGTAAAACAAGGTAGTTCATGGTAGTGTTTTATGATGAAGAAACATGCATCCATTGTCTCAGGCTCAATGAGCACTAATTATTGCGAAAGCTTATAAGCGAAAGCTTCTCGCAATAAGGTACGTGGCGAGGCGACTCGGTATTAACCAATCCGCGGTTTCGTGAATTTGCTTACATTTCCGGGTAATTTACAACCACGAGAGGGACAGGCAAGACAACAGATGACAACTCCACGAGAAGATCCCCCGGAGTCGGCAGTGTGACAATGCTAAACATTATTGAACATAGTTACGCAAACCCTACTTCCAGTAACGAAAATATAAGGGTTTCTTCAAAACGCTGCAAAATCGTGAAAAAAAAAATTATAGAAACTTGAACTTTTTTCAAATTAAAGGGGAGGAATCAAATTTTCATTTGCCGTAAATAGAATTTTCGAAAAAAAAAAATTATCCAAGCCCGTGCGTTTTGTCAAAGTTTGCAAATTCTTAAATCAGAAACATGCCATTGGATTATGGGATCGCGCACTGTAGAAATGAAATCAACCGAAGGTATGTTAAAGTTGAGACCTCAACCTATAATTTAAAAAAATATCACCATTTCACGACCATTTGTCGTTGAGTAATCATTGTTCAAAGTTGAGCAATATTCAGCGCATATTTTTTGACGCCATAATTTTTTTGAGTAGTGTAGATCTGAGACGCGTATACGAGTATATATAATTATCGTTGTTGCAAATTTGTCTCATGAGAGATATTCAGATTTAGAGTTAGATGTGTGAGTCCTTCGATCGAATCGCGACTGTAGATGTGATGTCGCATGATCCAAATGGAAAATTCAAACGGGGCTCTACATTTAAATCTGAACACTTCCCGTGAGACAGGCAACGACCGAGAGCCGGATTTAATATTTGAAGTCGTCCAAGCTGAACTTCAAACGAATCGCTACGAAGCATCTGAAGATCAACTTGAGATTACTTTAAATATAAGATTCGCCCGTGAATTCCGATCTTGCAGCTTAAATTGGGAGAAGTATCGCTCGCGCTGGGTATTCGTCGATTACTTGAATAACGAGTAGCGAAATACTCGAGACTTTAATTCCAGAGTACGAAAACTTCCGGCAAAGTTAGGCGCTAAGTCCGGGGCAGATGGGCATAGAGGATAGATGGTCAATTGCTATAATTTTGTTAATATACGAGTATGTTAGGTGTCAGCGCTGATCGGTCAATTGTGAGTTGGATGTACCACGAGTACGTGTGTCCCTTCCTGATACACAAAAACACTGTTATTGTGAGCAAAGAAAATGTTTTATGTTTCTATTGACCTCGAACATGTTTCACACGTCGGAAAAATACCATGCGAATACGGTTTATTTTGAATTACAACATTAGACCTGGACTTAAACGATTAAAAAACGATTAAAAATCGTATATACACCTGCATTGATAGAAAAATATAGTTGAATTAACTATAATCTCACTATATTTTATAGTTCATTTTGGCGTCAACCATACTTTTATAGTTTGTGGAACCTACAAAATATAGTAGAATAAACACAAATATATAGTCAATGATTGTCTTAAATAATTGCGTTTAGTTACTTTTACCACATATATGGTAATTTCTCATTCACAAATATAGTGAGATTTAATATTCATATAGTTACATCTGTCATCATTTGGCAAATATTCTGGTAATATTGACTATACAAAAAAGTTATTTTACCTACCATTTTATATTTGTATCCATAATAATATATAATGATTTTAGTTTAACTTACTATAATTCTTAATGAAAATATTATATAGTTGGTTATACTATGCCTATATCGTAATTATTACCGATATTATGGTAATACTTACTATATGATATTTCAGACTATAATTTAGTTACTATATCACTATAGTTCCAAATATCATATACTTTTCTCTAAGTGTGACCATCTATCCCCTTCACAGAACATTTTTAATATCTCGTTATTATTGGCGTCCCATGAATTTTTTCTCATAGAAATTCTTCTGTACCTTAAACATTATCTTCTACTGAGTGTGTTCAATGTGTTATTGATCATTTATTGCAATAATACAGACGTGTTTTTTCCAATTAAAAAGACCATACACTGAGAGAAAAGTATATGATATTTGGAACTATAATGATATAGTAACTAAATTATAGTCCGAAATATCATATTTATAGTAAGCATTACCATAATATCGGTAATAATTACGATATAGGCATAGTATAACCAACCATATAATATTTTTACTAAGAATTATAGTAAGTTAAACTAAAATTATTGTATGGATACAAATATAAAATGGTAGGTAAAGTAACTCTTTCATATAGTCAATATTATCTGAATATTTGCTAAATGATGACAGATGTAACTATATGAATATTAAATCTCACTATACTTGTGAATGAGAAATTACCGTAAATGTGGCAAAAGTAACTAAACGCAATTATTTCAGACAATCATTGACTATATATTTGTGTTTATTCTACTATATTTTGCAGGTTCCACGAACTATAAAAATATGGTTGACGCCAAAATGAACTATAGTGAGATTATAGTTGATTCAACTATATTTTTCTATCAGTGTACTCATCTATCCCGGATTCTTTACTACCCTACATTAACAAACAAATGCGCACGTAATCGACTCGGTGGTCGAATCAAGATCGTTCACGCCGCGATCTCAGTTGGTACTTTTTCCGCTTCTCGTCGTCTCTGCGAGCATCTCGTTTACAAATGCCTCATTTATGCCAGATTTCAATCGCGCTCGCGACGAGCGGTCGCAAGGTCGGTTAACTGTCCGAAAGTGACGTCGCGCGGGAAAGTGTCGAGGCGTGGTGCGCGTAAAACTACGAGTTACAAAATGTCGCCGTAAAATCACGGCGTCTCGTAAATTCCAGGACGACGTCTCGTTCGTCCTGGTAGTTGCAGCCCGGCCGAGAGGCGGGATGTCGCATCGGTCGCGGCGTCTAAGCGCGGAATAAACGCGAAATAACGGGCAAACGTGACGCTGCGTGCGTATTGCAATCACGATTAAGCCGGATACATGCACATGCACACAAGCGCCGGACTAGACTCTCCTTTAATCCCGCGGCTTTATACACACGTCTGCGTCGAGCGGCGCGCGTAAATTATCCTTCGCGCTGCCGAGTGCCGCCGCGAGCTCCTCGACAATTCGACGATGTTGCTCCCTTTCTTCCCGGCGACTCACGTCTGATCGACGTTTGCTCGCACTCGTCCATGTTTCGCGTGAAAACACGATGCGATCGATCGCCACACGCGGCGCGGCGGTATTGCATTCTTACCGTGTCCCGCGCGAGCGAAAAGCCCGGGATTGCCGATGATGACAATGTTAATTTCCCGAAAATGATATCATACACACATCACGTCGCGATTACCCGCGCGAGAGCCGCTCGCGCGCGCTCTCTCTCTCTCTCTCTCTCTCTCGCGTCGCGAATCATCTCGCAACGATGATTTCAGTTAAATTATTACATCCGAGCCCATTAGACGATTTACGTATTTAACGCGTCAGGTGTTTTACACGATTACCGTTTGCAAATTTTACCATCGAGCGGAGGCGCCCGCGACGACGCCCCACCTGCGGCGGCTGTTATCCGATACTCTCGCTTAATTTCAGATCGGCCCGGGCGACGGTCAATATTTTATGAGGCTTAATGAAAACCGTCAACGCGACGACAGCGCTGATAAATAAAGCGGGTTTTTACACCCGACCGGCGATACGGGTGGCCATTCTCCGCGTGGAGTTTTAATGCATCGCCCGTCGTCGCAACGAAATGAAATCGCTCACACGAGACGACGCTCCGCCGTTTCTTCATGTACGTGTGCGCAAGCCGGACGCGTACACAGCGTGTATTTGCGGGTTACGACGACACGATAAAGAGAGAAATACACCGTACAGCTCACCGCCGGCCGACCGCCGGCCGGCAGCATTCTCCGGCGGCTTACATCGATTTGCGCTCGCGGCAATAAACGGAATTTATTTATTGCGAGATAATCGTTCGCGCGAATTCGTTCCGTACGTCCGCGTTTTTAATGTCGCGGGCGTACATCATGACGAAAGATAATTGCCAGCTCGGCGGTATAAATAGAGCGAATCGCTGCTAGGCGGTACGAACAAGTCGCCGTGAATTTCTACTGCGATCACTCCAAGATGGCTTCTCGTCGTTTCCTGCTGCTCGCGCTCTTCGCGATCGCCGCTCATCTTATCGCTCCAAGTACACTGATAGAAAAATATAGTTGAATCAACTATAATCTCACTATAGTTCATTTTGGCGTCAACCATATTTTTATAGTTCGTGGAA